TCTCACATCGCAGGACCTTCTTCCAGACAAGCAATATAGCTTTCACTTCTCTAGGTCAACTGCTGATGTATTAACGATTATTGTTGAAAGAGTCTATCAAACTTTAGATAAAATTGGTGAAGCTCGGATTGTTGCTTTGGACATCTCAAAAGCGTTTGACAGGGTTTGTCATACCGGTCTTCTTCATAAATTGATTAATTTTTGAACTGATTTAATTTTTCTTAACAAATCACGGAATGAATATCGTCCTGAGCAGCCACACTTCTAGATCTTTTTGTACTGATGCAGGTGTCCCTATGTTTGATCCTACTTTTTTTAAAATTTTCAACAATGACCTTGCTGTTAGCATCAATTCGCAGCTTAGTATCTATACTGATGACACAACTATTTACTCTGGTCTCGATCGTAAATCTGATTAGTTCGATAAGGACAAATTGGCAGCCGATCTCAAAAATAACCTACAGTCTATTGTTAACTGGGGCAAAGAATAGCTTGTTAATTTTAATGACCCCAAAACGAACCTTTTTGTTATTAATCCCCTGAAAGACCCTTTCCTGCATCCCAATAGCATGGCTGATACTAACCTCCATCAATGAGACTCGTTGCGCCTTCTCTGCTTAACATTCTTGGCTGATATGAAGTGAAAAAATTATATTGGACCCATTGCTAGTTGGTTCACTGTGTCATGCTAGTTTTATCTCCTGAATTCATTTTATATATTTATAAATCTACCATTCGTCCATGCTTTGAATATTGTTGTCTCATAGGCTCCGGTGCTCCTGCTGTATATTTAGAGATTCTTGATAAAATCTAAAGAAATATCAGCAATATTATTAGTCCTGATCTGGCGTCTCAGCTCCGGTCACTTTCCCACCACCGTAATGTAGATTCTCTGTACCTTTTCCATAAATACTCTCATTGTAATTATTCGGATGAACTCTTCGCTGTGGTACCAAGACTTTATGAATTTAAGTGCAGTACTAGATTGGCGGCAAGGTCTCATCAATTTATAGTTGAGTTGGAAACCTTAAGTTTTATAAGAAAAGTGCTTCTTATCTCACACTTATCACTTATTGAAATCTCTTTCGGCTCCATGCTTTCTAGCAACGTTGATCTTCAAAAATTCAAATGTAATGTCCGTCGCTATCTACTACTTGATTACACTTCTATTGTTCTTGCTCCTTAATAATGTTTCTCTTTTTTCTTATTCTTTCATACTCAGTAACCCCTTATATCTTCCTTTTTTGGGGGTGATATGATTAAATATATATATTAATAGAGACCCATGTTTAAGTAGAGACCCCGTTTTTCAAACAGGAAATTACGACTACAGGCTTTCACATTCGAAAAACTTCATAAAGAGGATGTGCTCTTCGGCAGTTTTCGAACTTTTGTAGGAGAAACCACCGTTTAATCCAGCATGTTTTACACCGCTTGGCCTAATCGAGCGTTATAGCAAATTTCAATTATCCTTTTAAAGAGTTGGTCATCATCTCGTTCGCATTTTCTCAAAAGCCCAGATCTGTTAGATTTCGCATCCGAAAAGAAAATAAACCAATTTTTAAGGAATTATGGTTTTTATTTTCTATCCGTGATCGTTTCATATTTATCCAATCAATCTCTCTATAATTATCCCACTAACTATATTATTGTCTGCCGACAGATGTATTTTTACAAATATCTTATTCAATTTGTATTATTGTAGACAATCAATCAATCAGTCTATCTATCTATCTATCTATCTATCTATCTATCTATCTATCTATCTATCCTAGTTTATATATAAATTCAGCTACGTATTAGTTTATCTCTGTTAATATAATTATCTTGAATAAGACTACTATATAAATTCTATGCATCCGTACAAATGAGTGAAATGAGTGAACACAGTGAGAGAAGTTTCCTCTCTCCACCTGCTGATGAAGAATTATAAATAAACACAACTTGCAGATAAATCTGTACATAATAAGGTGCCTATCCACAAGTGAAGAGTTTTGACTGGGGCACTCAGCAGCAATTATCTGGAACGTAGATGCACATCCATATATAAATATATATATATATATTTATATGGATAAGATTTGAAGCCTATCATGTTTTAAAGAAAATATGTTGCCAACAACAAAAAAAAAAGTTTATTCTCTTCCTGTTTCTTCGATAGATATAATATAACAATAACACATTAAGACATATATGCGCAACACACGTACATTTATAGGTTATAGATAAACATGCAACTATGCGTATGTTCTATACATACATACATATATATATATATATATATATATATATATATATATATATATATATATATATATATATATATGTATGTATGTATTAAAACTTAAATGAAAGTGATGAATATTTAATTTCTTTACTTATATTAAAGTATCGACGTCCTTTCATTAGAGGCATACGCAACCTTTTTCCTATTATGTGATACGAACTGACATCTGATTGGCCTTTACTGGGAAAATAAATTTGATACCGATTAGTAACCTCAGCCAAAAATGCCTTCTGACCTTTGTGGCCCACTGTGGATTTCTTTCGATTGACAATGCTTATACAGAAAGAAATAGAAAGGATTAAAGATGACGTCTCAAATGCAGAAAAAGAAATGGAAAAAGCGAAGAAAAAGAATTCGTGGTTAAAAAGGAGAGAAGGATTAAAAGAGATAATATGGCAACTCAAAAAATAGAATTTGATTTGTGTGTGTAGTGGTAGTGGGGGGGGGGAACAAAAGATAAAAAGAAAAAGAAAATAGACGCAAAGAGGGGATTAGAAGACTTTGCGTGACAAGTGGAAAAAAGAAGAGATAGAAAAGAAAAAGAAGAAAAGAAAAATGTGGGGAAAGCGGGGAGATTAAGAAAGACCTGAACAGAAGAGAAGGATAGAGAGATTATTAAAAGAGATAGTATGGTAAGTAGCAAAGACCACAGAAGAATGAGTAAAGGAAAAAATGTAGAAAGGCGTAAAGAAAAGAGAAGAGAGCATTGCTAAGTAACATTAATAAATCTCACCAGAAATGGTTTGTTGCAAACAATGACTAATTAAACCGTTACATGTGCATCGTACCAAACAAGTGACTTTTTAGCTAATTGGCAAAAGCTTTATTCCTTTATCAGGAAACTAGAGAAACAGCTATTTTTAAAACTGCAAGTAGATTATATGAATGGTCTATTAAAGTAAGAAATATTTTGCTCAGAATTCGACTGGTGATTTGCTGCGAAAACAACAACAAAAAAAACTTCATTCTCCTGTGACAAATGCGACACAAAAATGATAATGGAAATGTGTTTAGAAATTCTTGTATCACGCACTCTCTTATTCTGTCAGTTTCAGAAAATAATTCATTATTTTCATACGATAAACAGAGAAGGTATTGATGCAACTTGGGGCATCCATCATACATACGTATTATTACGAAATGAAAACTGATAATATGTATCAAAGTGTGCATACAACATATATAATACGTTTTGTTAATGGATAAGAAGAAGAGTACATGATGCAAGATGTTTATACGGTTTGGAAACAAATACCAAGGATGCGACTTGTGCATACAACTATCAAAAGCGCTAATACAAGTTGTAGACAGATATCAAGAAGTCATGTTGCCCATTGCACGTACTAAAGTCAAGGTTTGGTTATCAATTTCCTGTATTAACGACTTTGTACGCCGTATATCCAAAGTAAAAGATATCTTCACTTTGTTATCAATTTTTAAGCAATATTAACATATTTGGTCACTATCTACGCAAGTTGCAAAATCTCTTGTTATCAGTCTCAAAAACCGTATTACCACCTTTGACCAAACCGGTTTCAAAATGTCTTCTTTTTATCACTTTCGAAACTTTATTAACATCTTAGACGGTTATATGTCGATGGTTCAGTATATCATCTTCTTTGTTATGAGTTTCCGCAGTGTATTAATAAGGCGTTGATACAACTTGGAAGTTGGTGACAACCTTGACAATAGTATGAACAACTTGCAATATAGCTTTTTCCTTGTTTTCATTTTCCAAACTGTATTAATGCCCGCTGTATGCGCAAGATGCTGTTTCGTTTGTTATGAGTTTACAAAACATATGAACGTATTTGAACATATCCAGCGTTCAAAGAAGGCTTGGAAAACAGATATGAAGGAAAAACATTTTGCAGTTTGGTTATACTGCGGTTAGAGATTATAATAACATTTGGAAAATGATTACAAAGTGAAGACGTTTTGCAACTTGAAAATGTTATCAACTGACAAGAAGATATGTCACAACTTGTGTATGTAGCTTACCTAGTCATTAATACAGTTTTTTAGTCTTGGGTCCAAATATTTTAATCTTCTTTTATGTACTGTGTCCAATCAGGGCATGGCGGGATCGTCGCTCCATATAACCTTCAACCTCTTGTAACACTTAGTAACTTTTGCCCATATGCCAAACCTCCTAACACCCATTCCACCATCCATTCATACTAGTTCGTCAGGTAGGTGACCTACTGCCTTCTCCTGTCCCTTTTTTTTTTCGATATGCCCTGTGCCTGACAAATTATCCAAGTTCCACTTGCTCACTATGTTCAAAATCTTTTATCGGTCTTTGTTTCTATTTTTCATAAAATTTTGTGGATTTACCCCAGTTACTTTCCTTAAAAAAAAAAAAAACCGCCGCTAGGAGACGACCTTTAAGCCTATAAATATGCAGTAACATTCTCTGTCATCTTCTTTTTCTTATTTCATTCAGGGACGGTAAGATGTAGGTCGAACGAGACAATCGCTTTCCTCACTAGGGAACGCACACGCGCCCGCACGCACCTATACACATTTCACTTCATTTTCTCTAGGACTTTCTCCCTCCCCCCACACACACAAACAAACAAACAATCAATTCACTAGTTTAAATCTTTTCTTCATTCATGTTCATAGTTTTGTAATACGCAACAATATTCTTTTTTCTATGTATACGCTTGTTTTGTTAATTTAATACATACTTATCGTTTGTTTTTATATATATAGATTTGTTGTTACTTGGTCATTTATTACTCGGACTAACTTTCTGATTCCGTCATTTTTGTTGTGGGATAAATATACTAGGAAACACGTGTTTTCCAACTAAACATTCGACCAGCATATTTCCGCAACAAATTCTTTGTTAATTACACGCACCTGCCATGATATCCCCACCATCCTTCTGTATAACTGAAAACTTTGCTTAGCTTATGGAATGTCTCTTTACTATTCTAATGTACTTTCAGATTTTGGTTTTCCATCTTTTACTCTAATGTACTTTTGGATGTCGCGTTTTCCATCTTCTGCTAAAACACTTCGCAGATATTTAGATTTCTGTACTTGTTTTATGTTGACATGTCTAATTTGAAGTTCAAAACTGTTTTTTTTTTCTCTTGCTGACAGCCATAAAATCTGTCTTTTTACCGTTGATGTTTAGTCCTTTGCTTCTCGATTTGCTTTACTACATTGTATAGGAAGTCCTGTAGTTTTCCTTTCGTGTTTGCCATTAATAACACAGTGTTATCTGTGTATCTTATATTATTAAGATTACTTTCGCCGATAATAAACCCTGGTGGAGATCTCCAAATCCCTTAGGATTGTAATAGTTGAATAAATCTAGTAAGAAGACACGTTCTTGTTTTACGCCCCTTTCTATTTTTGTGTACCTACTTAATTCATTTTTTATCCGTATGCAAGTGGTTTGCTCCTAATTCTGGATTATTCTAATGCCAATCCCAAATGGATCTAGTTTTCCTAACAGTCTGAATACTTTTGGGCCGTCTATAAAACATAAGTAATGTAAGTTTAGAAAAATGATAACAAATGGAAATAATCTTCTTGTAATTTATATAATTTTGGAAACTGATAAAAAAATATTCCAGCTAGTCTGGCTAGTCCAGTGTAATTAAACGGTTTTTATAAACTGACAAGTTGCAACTTCGTGCATACTGCTGTCATAGACTGTAATAATGTTTTGAAAAATTTCTGACATTCTTGGAAAAACTAACATGCATATGTTTCAGGATTTCAAACAAATATTCAACTTTTGACGATCCCTTAACATTAACTTTAACATAAATACATACTTGTAATTAGCTACCTAAAAAAACAATACTTAAGGTTTAAAATGCATTAAAAAAATGAAAAAAAATTCTTAAATATTTTATTTTAGTTTTAATTCCAAGCTAATAGATTAAATTCAATATTTCCAATAAGCTAAATATTTTGCTGCATTTCAAACAGAATTTGAATTGATTGGAATTATTTTTCTGGTTATCCAGTAATCTATTTATTTTAAATATTCTAAGTAATCTAATATTTTATTGAATTTTAAGCACTTTGGCTTTATACTCTTATTTACTAAGTCGCTTGTTGAGGAAATGTTAGAAAATTCTCAATAAATTTCAAATTTACTATATTTACCGCTGTTATTTCCTGATAATGTCGTGTATGGCTGTTCGTGTTTACAAAAGTTATGCACACAAGATAAATTCACTTTTTTAAATACTGGGATCAATGAATTTTAGTGAGCTTTTCCATTTATGATTAGTAAATATAGTTTTAATTCAATAACAGTACTATTTAAATGATACAAATTTTAAAAGAATTTTAAATATATTTCACTCATAAATGCAATTAAAATCTTTTCTGTTTAAATAATGATTTATTTTCATTGCATTTTTTTATTTTATGATTCGGAGCAGATTTTCTGTAATTTGAGATTCTGTTTAAACAAAAGATTTTAATGACTTAAATTCTCCAAAGATTTGTCCTTATCTGATTTTTGCAAGAATTTCTAAAAAGACGCTTAAATTTCCCGTACAAATTTATGGTCCCACGTTGATACCAGAAAAATATTTTCACGAAGATTTTTAAGAATCTGAAAAGGAAAAAATATTGTTTTTACACAAAAAAAATCCTTTGTTCCTTCATTTAATAATAACACAAGCGTTTTGTCGATAAAATTTTGTTTTCGTTCTATTTTGGGAATTAATTTATACACTTTTTTAGCTACATTTTGGTGGTACTTAACTTTAATTAAATTTGTTTGTTTCTTTTTCTTCTTCTCACTTCTGACTTTTTGCACAGACTTACAGAGGGAGGTTCAATACTTTGCTAAAAAAGAGCATACCTTGATGAAAAAAGGCCCAAACTTGATAAATAATTTTTTATCGTCAAAATGTTTATATCATTATTAAAAGGAAAGACCAAAATATTTTTTCATTATTTTTAATTTTTTTAATCCTTCCTAGCACGTCCGAAATTTTAGTTAAAAATCTTGTTTTTTTAGTCTGCAAAATTGCCATAAAATCGATCATGTCAGCAATTTTTGACAACATTAAATTTAACTTTAAATTGTCCTGACGTTAGTTGACGTTAATGTATCGACAACTAACGTCAGTGCAATTTATCGGAAGGAAGGACAGAAGTGACAATATTTTCGAATTTTAAGTGACCCAGCTTATTTAATTATAAAGTAGTTTTTAAAGGTTAAATACTTTCGATTTTATTGATTTTTAGGTACTTTTTGTATGTCTAAAGTCTGCACATTTTCCGTCCCTAAAATTGAATCTAAAAAAGAAAATAATTAATAATTGCAGTATGTCTCTCACTGTAAAACAATAAATTAATTATATTTAAAAAATGAAATTAAAATATTTCGTGAAATAGGATGTGAAAAAGAAAATTTAAAATTTAAAAAATGTAACGATGATGGTCAGTCAGAGAATTTGATACGTGCTAGCCAGAAGGAAAGCAAAGCAATTTCTTAATTTCTTGTGACCTATTATTTCTGAACCGTCCATCCATAGTTTTGGAGAAAATGCTTTTAATACATTTTTTACATATTAAAAAATATTTAAAAAATACTACACAGATTGTAATAAGCTTTCAAATTTATGAGCTGTAAAAATAGATATTTTTAGTAACAGCATTTCCAAAAATACACAGATTCAAACTTAATTTAAAAATATTTTAAAATTTATCACACTTTCTATT